TTTGTAAAATCTGTATGACCCCCTCTGAGAAGTTGGTCTACAATATACGCCTATTTAAATAATCCTCTATGAACATTCATGAATAAAATTTTATGAATTCATTTGTAAACTATATTGTTTTTAATTAGCACATGTTATTTTTATAATATTGGTCAACTTTATATTCATAATCATTTTTAGAATAATTTTTTTGTTGCTCTAAGAGTTCTTTTAACACTTTGCCTTCACATTTACCCCTTTTCCAGTGATCTTTCCACCTGACAGGATTTTTTGAATTTCTACTTTTTGGTTCAGGGCAACTGTACACAGTTTCTTGTTTTTGCTTCTTAAACCCATTTGTATGAATATTCCGACATATAAAACATTCAAAGGCAGGAACCACATCTTCTTGATTCCCTTCTAATCCATATTTTCCTCTTTTCAATAGATTTATCAATCGTTTATTGGTAATTTGGTGTCCAAAATTCAATTTTTCTTTATGATCCAAATAATTCAAATACAGATTATTATCTTGATTCACTTTAATTATATAACTTGCTAATGATTCAATACTTTCAAAATTACCAATGAGTATTGCAGATTTGTTATTTGGGAGCCAATCCTGCAAAACATAATTTAATTATTGTCAATAACAAATTTTTAAAGTCTTACCCCAACATTAGGAGCTCCAAGATAAATTGGAACGGAACCCACTATCAATGATCTCCATAATTTTTCAGTTATATAGTCATCACATCTTGCATTCTCAATGGCTATTGTGAACTTATAAGAAGCTGCCAACTGCATTATAAGATTGTGATATGGAAAGGAGTAAACATCACTTTCTTTAAGACTAAAAGAAACAAATTAAAAAATTTTAGGAAGAAAGGAGAAAATCTTTGTTATTTACCTGTCAGGCAGTTTTTTGTTATTCAAACAAACTCCATACGAATCTACTTTGATATACTTCATTAATTCAGCCACTATCATATCTCTTTCTATTGGAGTATTACAGTCTGATTGAATATACAAAACAGGTGCATGATTTTTTAACAAATTTTTCTTTTTTTCTATTGGTATATAATACTGTCGACCTTGAAAAGGACAATTAAGGGTAAATTAATTAACAAACTAATAAAAAATTACTTGTAAGAGATTCAATATCTCTTAAATACTGCAGTGGGACGGGAAAGTCACTGTGTTGGTCAAATGTGGATGTTATGTTAAATACTGATTGTCCATCTCTGTACAAAAATAATCCTAAATTTTTAGGCGACTCTTCATGAAAAATACTCCATGGTATATGTTTTAATCCTATGGGCAGATCAGTAGGATTAAATCTGCTACCATAAAATAAATAAGCCTACAAAATACTAATAGTTACTAACAGATATATATAACAATTTTGCTTACACTTAATCTTGAGTGATTTTTATAGACCCTATCACTTGTTAATAAACAGGAATAATTATCACACCTAATCACTCGCTCTACTTCTACAAATGGTGTCCACCATAACAAAATTGGAACACTTTTATACATAAGAATACCGTATATACTCTAAAATTAATGATAATAGGAAAAAATGTTTGTTAAACAATAATTCAACAGTTAAAAACCTTAATAATCAAAAATGTAGTTACTAAAGCCAGGAACAAACAAACTGTTTTATTTTTTAATCGAAATATGGAAGTATACATGGCTGTAGTTGTAAATTTAAAAAATCGATAAACACTACATTGGTTATTTAAAAATGTGTTGTAATTTATAAGGCACTTTTATTTTTATGTTAGATAAAATTAAACATAACATATTTGTAGGTTATCACAAACAGATGACTTACCTAACCTTACCATAACAATTCAAAACATTCATGACAGAACTGCTATTTTTCTGTCATCAAAGAAAAAAATTATGAAAAAATAGGGAAAAATATCCAAAATAAACCTTAACAAATTTTACTTTTGCTTATATCATTAATTAATGGTAAAATTATTTACTGGACAGTTATTTAATGATGAAAGTATAACTCAATTTTTTTATTAACAAAAGTTTTATTAGAAAATTATCAGTAATATAAAATTATAATACAAAGACCCACATATAAAACTTTATTATATTTCTGGATAGAAATAAGAAAGTTCAATAAACGGTTTTTATTAATAAAAAAAAAAAATTTCAATAACGGTTTACTACGAAGTACGCATGCGCACTGCGTAAAATCATCCTAGTATGTAGTATCTGTCTTTTCCGTGTCATCTTTAGCGGCAAGCGACAGGTATGTGTTCCATATTATTTGAAAATTTTAACTGAAGCCCGAAAGCGTTCCTTATTTTAATGTAGTTTTAATTATCAATCAAGTAGGTGATTGATATTTTGTTTTGTCAATTTTATTTACAAAGTACCNAATACTGTCGACCTTGAAAAGGACAATTAAGGGTAAATTAATTAACAAACTAATAAAAATTACTTGTAAGAGATTCAATATCTCTTAAATACTGCAGTGGGACGGGAAAGTCACTGTGTTGGTCAAATGTGGATGTTATGTTAAATACTGATTGTCCATCTCTGTACAAAAATAATCCTAAATTTTTAGGCGACTCTTCATGAAAAATACTCCATGGTATATGTTTTAATCCTATGGGCAGATCAGTAGGATTAAATCTGCTACCATAAAATAAATAAGCCTACAAAATACTAATAGTTACTAACAGATATATATAACAATTTTGCTTACACTTAATCTTGAGTGATTTTTATAGACCCTATCACTTGTTAATAAACAGGAATAATTATCACACCTAATCACTCGCTCTACTTCTACAAATGGTGTCCACCATAACAAAATTGGAACACTTTTATACATAAGAATACCGTATATACTCTAAAATTAATGATAATAGGAAAAAATGTTTGTTAAACAATAATTCAACAGTTAAAAACCTTAATAATCAAAAATGTAGTTACTAAAGCCAGGAACAAACAAACTGTTTTATTTTTTAATCGAAATATGGAAGTATACATGGCTGTAGTTGTAAATTTAAAAAATCGATAAACACTACATTGGTTATTTAAAAATGTGTTGTAATTTATAAGGCACTTTTATTTTTATGTTAGATAAAATTAAACATAACATATTTGTAGGTTATCACAAACAGATGACTTACCTAACCTTACCATAACAATTCAAAACATTCATGACAGAACTGCTATTTTTCTGTCATCAAAGAAAAAAATTATGAAAAAATAGGGAAAAATATCCAAAATAAACCTTAACAAATTTTACTTTTGCTTATATCATTAATTAATGGTAAAATTATTTACTGGACAGTTATTTAATGATGAAAGTATAACTCAATTTTTTTATTAACAAAAGTTTTATTAGAAAATTATCAGTAATATAAAATTATAATACAAAGACCCACATATAAAACTTTATTATATTTCTGGATAGAAATAAGAAAGTTCAATAAACGGTTTTTATTAATAAAAAAAAAAAATTTCAATAACGGTTTACTACGAAGTACGCATGCGCACTGCGTAAAATCATCCTAGTATGTAGTATCTGTCTTTTCCGTGTCATCTTTAGCGGCAAGCGACAGGTATGTGTTCCATATTATTTGAAAATTTTAACTGAAGCCCGAAAGCGTTCCTTATTTTAATGTAGTTTTAATTATCAATCAAGTAGGTGATTGATATTTTGTTTTGTCAATTTTATTTACAAAGTACCGTAACATTTCCACACTTTTTGTCAACTTCAATTTCTTTGTTAACAAATAGCACGTGTGAATGGCGCAGCTATTTTGACGAAATTTAAAATTCTCTCTAGTAATAACCGCATCGATTTATAAGAAACTGATTCTAAACGTTAAGTATTTTGTGATTTCGTTTATTTTCTACAGAAATGGCTGAAATACCAGATCAAGCCGGCGATTGTCCTGACGACTTAGAAAACGTTGGCGAAGAAGAGATTGACAACGACATTGAAAAAAAAGCTGCCGAAGTAGCTAGAAATTTCGTTGCAGCTTTAACACACCAACAACGTGATCCTGCTGAAATCATAGCTGCATTACCACCTGAATGCAGAAAGCGAGTGAAAGCCCTTAAAAAACTTCAAGTGGAAGAATTAAATTTAGAGGCTAAATTTTATGAAGAAGTTCATGCGTTAGAAGTAAAATACAGCCGTTTGTATAGTCCCCTCCATGAAAAACGGTTTTCAATAATTTCTGGTGCTTATGAGCCTACAGAAGAAGAGTGTCAATGGGCTTCCGCTGATGAAGAAGACTTAGCTAATGAACTGAATCAGAAAGCCAAAGTTGGCAATGAAGGAGATAAAAAAGAAGAACAGAAAGGTGAGCCTGTGAAAGGCATACCTGATTTTTGGCTAACAATTTTCAAAAACGTTAGTTTGCTTTATGAGATGGTTCAAGAACATGATGAACCAATCTTGAAACATCTGTTAGATATTAAACTGAAATTTAAAGATAATCCTATGGTAAGTTATTCTTCTATTTAATATGTACTTACTTGTTAGCTTAATGTTATTCAAAAAATATATAACTAAATTGATGTCAATTTTGCATGGCCTGAAGCCGAGTTAATAAAGGAATTAATCTATCAAAGAGAAGAATAAAAAAATATAATAAAGGTTGTAAGTTCATAAAATAAGTAATTTATTTAATTTTCTTTTTTATTTAATGTTTATGCTTGCATTTGTTTTGAGCATAGAAAACTTGCTTATTTTAATTTATTACAAAAGTAAAAGAGGTACAATAATTTCAAGAGTTAACTCATTGCTACAATTTATATAACACTGAAGTAGGTAATATAATTTTAAAATAAAATTAATTGAATTGAATGTTATATTAATTGAAGAATAATTAGTATTGAAAATCACTCATGGGAATTACTTTTGATATTACAAAAACTGTTTTATAATCTCTTTAACGGGGAGATTCGATTTACTGATGCATTGGAGATTACAATTTTAAAAGCGATTTTTATTATTTTATGTAATAACTTATTGTAAGTTATTATTATTATCATTAAGTTATGTTAAGTATTATGTTTTTGGTTTTATTGTAATGTTTATTTTGCATGTAGGGCTTTATTCTTGAATTCTACTTTGAGCCAAATGAATACTTTACAAACAAGGTGCTAACTAAAGAATATGATATGAAATGCGTTCCTGAAGATGATGACCCGTTCAGTTTCGAAGGCCCCGAAATATTCCGATGCCGTGGCTGCACCATCAATTGGAATAAAGGCAAAAATGTCACGCTGAAAACAATAAAGAAAAAACAAAGGCACAAGAGTAGGGATCTAGTTCGTACAGTTACAAAAACTGTACAAAATGATTCTTTCTTCAATTTCTTTTCTCCACCAGTCAGTAAGTAGCTTTTAATTAATCTTTTTTACCTCTTTAGGAACTATAAGATAATTAAATGGTTTTTGTTAACACTTCATTGATAAAAATTCATACTTTATTAAGACATAGTAGATCTTATAACAATATTAGCATAAAAAGCAGTTTCTGTCAGAAATACTACACCTCAGAGAACAATTTTTTGTTATTTAAACCTTTTAGTCCCATTGATGTAGAAATTTGACCTATTCATCCAAGAAATGTAATGTTCTTATTTTAAGTCCCAGATGATGTGAATGAAGCTAATATGGATGAAGAAATTCGCAACATTCTTACATCTGATTTTGAAATTGGTCATTACATTCGTGAGCGCATCATTCCACGTGCCGCCCTTTATTTTACTGGCGATGCAACTGAAGATGATGATTTTGAAGAGGAAGAAGCAGATGAAGATGACGAAGAAGAAGAAGAAGAAACTGACTCAGACGGGCAACCCGAACTGTCTTTTGGGAGTATAAAGAAAGAAGATTCATAAAATCAAAAAATATTAATGAGAAAAAAAATGCAAGCTTGGGAATAACGGCAACTTTTAAATGTTTATTTTGTCTCTAACTTATTTATTGTCAGTTTTATGTATTAAATTTGTACTATCTCCCAACCTTTGTTTCATTGGTTTGTTTGCTTTCTTTTATTTTACTTTAACTTTTAGTCTTATATAATTGCTTGATTGTTCCACAAAATTGAAAGTATTTATTTGAATTGTATTTGTGATCTTTATTTTTGATACAAAAATTGCTTAAATAGAAATTTTTACTGATACTCTGCATTTGTAATATGTTCCCTTAATAAATTGAACTCGAATTATTATTAAATTTAGTATAAGTTTCTTCATTGTTTTATTTTCAACTAGAAATAGGACATATTTAATATATACTTCTAATTACATGTACTAATTAATTAACACATTTGCCGGCAGGTGAGTTAAGGTGATCGGGAAGACTATGCAATTCTACCTGTAAGTTGAATAAAACGTTTCCATTAGAAAATTGTTAATAGATAGTACTTATTTTACTGTTGTTGCTACCTTTGTTGATTTGAGGGCTACACCTTCTGGTAAATTCCTTTGGATATATTCTAATAATGTATCTGCAGTTGATCCAGTCAATTGTTTGAATTGTACAAACCTAAAGTATGTTCTGAATTCATATTGCACCCTATGTTTTTTATAAATATGAACTGACTTGAGTAATGTCAATCTATCATGTAATGGTTTGAATTGAGCCCATCTACAATTAATGATGTAATAATTTATTTTAGAATACGTTATTGAAGCACTAATTACGTTTTTGATTTGACACCCAAGTGATTGCCGGCTGTACTAACAAACTGGCAAAAACTCTTAAGTACAGCAGGATCATTGCCTTTAATTTCTAATTCTAATATTTTATAAAGTTTATCCGGCTCATTATTTTGTATTTCTTCTAGAGGCTGGTTAACTTTTGTTTCTATATCTATAGCTGTGGATGAAAATCGAGGTAATATCGCTTGAGGTTTCAATAATCGACTGAAGATGAGTGAAGTTAGTGAATTCTAAAACATTCGTTTGAGTATATGCTTCAATAAGTTTCACATTATTTTATACCATGGTTGGAATACTAAACGCTGTATATTTATTATTATATTTTTAATAAATTAAGATAAATCATATTTATATCTTATAACCTCCATAGACAAATAACCTCAAAACATCATATTATTTGCAGTATTCAATAATGTGATTCAATTACAAAGTTCATAGTTTATTTATTTTGGGTTATTTACTTTATTGTTATTAATATGTTGTAATCTTACGTAATTACATTAATTCTAAAACCAATTAATGTTTATATTCTTCTCGAATCACTTCAAACTTTGTGATTTAATTAGAATTAGTGTAAGTGAATGCACCTTTAATATTTCAACCTAAAATAATAATAATAACACTAAATTTTAGGAAATCATAGTATTGGCGCGAAAAGACCCTGTCAAGCTTATGTTCTCCTGATACGAAATTTCAGATTTTCGAAGTCCGGCTCTTTAAAAATTAATATGTCTGTCGCCTTCACCATTTTTAATATGTTTTTAACGCATCCTTTGCTACAGTAATCACAATGATTGACGTATTTAACATTTTTTAATGCGTTGTTTCCATTATACTTAATCTTTAATACTCATTATTTNTACAATTTTAAAAGCGATTTTTATTATTTTATGTAATAACTTATTGTAAGTTATTATTATTATCATTAAGTTATGTTAAGTATTATGTTTTTGGTTTTATTGTAATGTTTATTTTGCATGTAGGGCTTTATTCTTGAATTCTACTTTGAGCCAAATGAATACTTTACAAACAAGGTGCTAACTAAAGAATATGATATGAAATGCGTTCCTGAAGATGATGACCCGTTCAGTTTCGAAGGCCCCGAAATATTCCGATGCCGTGGCTGCACCATCAATTGGAATAAAGGCAAAAATGTCACGCTGAAAACAATAAAGAAAAAACAAAGGCACAAGAGTAGGGATCTAGTTCGTACAGTTACAAAAACTGTACAAAATGATTCTTTCTTCAATTTCTTTTCTCCACCAGTCAGTAAGTAGCTTTTAATTAATCTTTTTTACCTCTTTAGGAACTATAAGATAATTAAATGGTTTTTGTTAACACTTCATTGATAAAAATTCATACTTTATTAAGACATAGTAGATCTTATAACAATATTAGCATAAAAAGCAGTTTCTGTCAGAAATACTACACCTCAGAGAACAATTTTTTGTTATTTAAACCTTTTAGTCCCATTGATGTAGAAATTTGACCTATTCATCCAAGAAATGTAATGTTCTTATTTTAAGTCCCAGATGATGTGAATGAAGCTAATATGGATGAAGAAATTCGCAACATTCTTACATCTGATTTTGAAATTGGTCATTACATTCGTGAGCGCATCATTCCACGTGCCGCCCTTTATTTTACTGGCGATGCAACTGAAGATGATGATTTTGAAGAGGAAGAAGCAGATGAAGATGACGAAGAAGAAGAAGAAGAAACTGACTCAGACGGGCAACCCGAACTGTCTTTTGGGAGTATAAAGAAAGAAGATTCATAAAATCAAAAAATATTAATGAGAAAAAAAATGCAAGCTTGGGAATAACGGCAACTTTTAAATGTTTATTTTGTCTCTAACTTATTTATTGTCAGTTTTATGTATTAAATTTGTACTATCTCCCAACCTTTGTTTCATTGGTTTGTTTGCTTTCTTTTATTTTACTTTAACTTTTAGTCTTATATAATTGCTTGATTGTTCCACAAAATTGAAAGTATTTATTTGAATTGTATTTGTGATCTTTATTTTTGATACAAAAATTGCTTAAATAGAAATTTTTACTGATACTCTGCATTTGTAATATGTTCCCTTAATAAATTGAACTCGAATTATTATTAAATTTAGTATAAGTTTCTTCATTGTTTTATTTTCAACTAGAAATAGGACATATTTAATATATACTTCTAATTACATGTACTAATTAATTAACACATTTGCCGGCAGGTGAGTTAAGGTGATCGGGAAGACTATGCAATTCTACCTGTAAGTTGAATAAAACGTTTCCATTAGAAAATTGTTAATAGATAGTACTTATTTTACTGTTGTTGCTACCTTTGTTGATTTGAGGGCTACACCTTCTGGTAAATTCCTTTGGATATATTCTAATAATGTATCTGCAGTTGATCCAGTCAATTGTTTGAATTGTACAAACCTAAAGTATGTTCTGAATTCATATTGCACCCTATGTTTTTTATAAATATGAACTGACTTGAGTAATGTCAATCTATCATGTAATGGTTTGAATTGAGCCCATCTACAATTAATGATGTAATAATTTATTTTAGAATACGTTATTGAAGCACTAATTACGTTTTTGATTTGACACCCAAGTGATTGCCGGCTGTACTAACAAACTGGCAAAAACTCTTAAGTACAGCAGGATCATTGCCTTTAATTTCTAATTCTAATATTTTATAAAGTTTATCCGGCTCATTATTTTGTATTTCTTCTAGAGGCTGGTTAACTTTTGTTTCTATATCTATAGCTGTGGATGAAAATCGAGGTAATATCGCTTGAGGTTTCAATANTTATATTTTTAATAAATTAAGATAAATCATATTTATATCTTATAACCTCCATAGACAAATAACCTCAAAACATCATATTATTTGCAGTATTCAATAATGTGATTCAATTACAAAGTTCATAGTTTATTTATTTTGGGTTATTTACTTTATTGTTATTAATATGTTGTAATCTTACGTAATTACATTAATTCTAAAACCAATTAATGTTTATATTCTTCTCGAATCACTTCAAACTTTGTGATTTAATTAGAATTAGTGTAAGTGAATGCACCTTTAATATTTCAACCTAAAATAATAATAATAACACTAAATTTTAGGAAATCATAGTATTGGCGCGAAAAGACCCTGTCAAGCTTATGTTCTCCTGATACGAAATTTCAGATTTTCGAAGTCCGGCTCTTTAAAAATTAATATGTCTGTCGCCTTCACCATTTTTAATATGTTTTTAACGCATCCTTTGCTACAGTAATCACAATGATTGACGTATTTAACATTTTTTAATGCGTTGTTTCCATTATACTTAATCTTTAATACTCATTATTTATTTATATCTTTAATTTAAAAATGATAAATACTAATTTGTATTAATATTTATGGCACTTAAGTTTTCTTTACCATGGAACTAAGATAAGTTAAAATGTTAATAAAAGATAAAAGCTGTAATAAGATAAATGAAAAATTGTTTAAGATTAAGGAGAATTTGTTTACTGCTTGTGTTGTACATCGTTTTTTTGGGATTTACAAAACTGTAATTGTTAATAAACAAAAATTTATTGTTCATTCACTTAATAAATTATAGTCTGATGGTCTACATTTTCATTATAATTATAATGATGAATTTGTAACAGTATTAATTCCTAAAATAACAATAAATAAAAAGGCAACAAATAGCAAATCTGTTTAAAAAAATTATTGCTAATCTTGTTAATCCTGGTAGTAATCAATTGCGTATAATATATTGATCTTTGCAAATTATCGTTTATATTTTTTTTATGAAAACCAAAATTTTAATACTGGATGAAACGTAAACAGAGGTTCATTTTGAACAATTATGAATAAAAAATATTGCTTGTGATAAAAAGATAATAAACAAAAAATAAAGTGACGTCAATAGCCTAGTGATTTTTGGTTTGAAATGTTTCGCGGGATAAATTGCTGAAGCTAGCATATGACAGCTGCTGTATTTTTAAAGTACCCACACGAATGTTATTAATAATTGTGCTCCTAGGTTTGTTAAACAAAAATAAACGCATGAAAGAATGAGCTATATTTCTATTTGGTGGACAGTTTCGCTTTTGGTATTAATATCTGTAATTGAAAAGACACATTTGACAACTCACGATAACAGTCATGGTAAGTTGTAAGTTTGATAATAGTACCTGTAAATATAATCTAAAATCCTGTTTGTTCAGCTAATTTCTTTACAAAAATGCCGATTTTTGATATTCTCTTTATTTTATTATTTATTTCAGGGTTTGTGTCTACTTCTAGAGAAAGTTACTTTATTGATGATTTATCCAATATTCATCAGGTAAGACATGAAATAATATGTGTGATATTCCTAGATTTTAATTCTTTTCTTTTAGGATATTTCGCCAGAATTTCGGTAAGTTTGTTGTATAGTTTATTTATGGTTTGTTTTTAAAAATTTCTTACAGAAGTTCCGTAATAAGTGACATGAAAAAGTATGTAAAATTTGAGCCAGAATATTTAGATTTTAAGCAAAGGTATGTCCATTGAGAATATTTATTTTCATTGTTGCTCAAGTTTACAGTTTTAGGGCTCTAGGTGTACCTCATTTAGAAAAGGTGTTGTTATTTAACATTCATAGTAATAAAAGTATTGATATGACTTCTATATCAGGTAGTACAGTCCATTTTCACAGTTCTTTCTTTGAAGATAAGGTAAGAAACGACATTTATTTTATGAAATTTTACCAAAATGTGCCTTTAGCAAATTCCACCTCTTGGAAATACTTCGTTTAATGTTGTATTCTTGGGACGAGAGGAGGGTATTGTGGAAAGTAATTTGTTTATCCATACAACAGAAGGACATTTTAAGTATCAAGTAAGAACATTTCCATTTGGAATAGGTATATATATATATTTCTATCAGAAGATAATAACATATTATTTTTTAGGTAAAAGGATCAAGTGTTTCTAGTCCATACAGACTGCGCCCAATAACAAACGTAAAATTGCCATTAAATGCTACATTTTCTCCTATGATCTACATGTTTAATCCACACTTGGAATCCATTCAAGTATTATTTGTTCGTAATGATAAAATATTTATTATTTCGTATATAAATTTTTAGGTAATAGAAATATACAGTAGTGGGGGCGATTTTCACTTGGAATTACCAAGTGGTGAATTGGAAGGCCCCAAAGATATGTGGGAAATACCACCCCTTCAAAGAAAAGCTATTATTCGGGTCCGATTCTTTGCTAAAACTGAACGAAATCATACAGCTTATGTTCGGTAAGAATTGTTAATATAAATTGAATTAACATTATTAAGTAACTAAATAACACAGTAAATTTTGCATTTTTCTCCAATTTTTATAGTAGGTACTTTTTTTAATAAGATTAATTCAATAGTTTACATTTAAAACTTTAATAAAAATAAATTTAAAAATATTTTTTTATAAACAAATACAACTTCTGGTATAATCTTCTGGGGATAAATCAGTTCCAATTGTAGTAACTTGTAGGAGAAAGTATGAGATTTAGATTAAAAAGCAGTTTTCCCATATTTACGTTTTCCTTCCA